AGCCGTGGCCTTCTCTTGCCCTTTAAGGTATCTTTGGCCTCACAGGCTGCTACAGACCTCAATCAGGACCAGTGATTCATAGAGGTTCACTTACTATGAATCAGCTCCTGTCACCAGGCAAAGGGCCTAGGCCTAGGACAGACTTACAGATAAACATAGAAAGCCAATTAGCAAAATTTAAATCCTGCTCAGATCTGCTTCATAATCATCCCCAACAGCATTTGTTGGGGATCACAAATTCAGAATGGCAAATATTACCTATTTTGCTATGTGATAAACAGAAGCATTGGGATTATTGGTATCACCTGTCTCAGATTTCCCATTGATTCTTCTGAGCAAAAGATCATCTAAACCTTCACAAGTCATCTCAGGTTTAAACTTATGGCCAAGATATTTCTGAGCATAAGATTATCTACACATTTTTGAGTCTGACTTTTAGGGTGAATTGTGATCCTTTATGAGCCACACATATAACTGTGTACACCAAATAAAGTGAGGTTTCTTTGGGACTCAGGAAGGTGGATCCAGAGATACTGACTTCCCAGCCATTGTTGGAACATTAGGCTTTTCTCTGTACTTTATTTTTGTTTCCTCACCACATTCTTGAGATTGACAATTAGGACTCTTTGACTGGTTTCAGATATTGACAATAGGGACTCTTGGCCTGGTTCACCATAGCATTTTCAGGTGGTGGTGGGGTTATGTATGATGTTCAGTATTGCACAACATATGCGATACCTTAGGAAAATATTGGCCCCCATGTCACTAGGAATATTGTTGCATGTGAGTCTTCATTCTACTGTCAATCCCTCCTCATCATTATCAGTTTATAGGCTGTTGTTTCATGTACAATTTTATCATGTTGCCTACTGAATCTAGAAAATTCAGTGCAATATACATAAGTTTTAGTGAGAAATCCATTTTCTAATCTTTAATCTGCCAAAATTGAAGTAGTGAAGCCTTTTCTCAATTCATCACATTTTCCTCTTTATTTGCATTACTGTATGTAAATATCACTCTTGCCAGGGTCACTACTTGTTATCTTCATATCTTATATGTATTTTCCCCAGCAATGAGAAAGCAGCCTTTTCCAGGTCTCCCACTCATATAAATACTGCAGACATCTTGTTTGTGGCAACCTGGATAATTTGAGAACATTTCACAGACATTTTGGATTATGTGTACAGGCCTATGGAGTCTATGCAATTAAAGACTTGAAAATATGTGTGTATGTTTTTCAAAACAAGGTGTCACTACATAACTGAGACTCAACTGGAACATGTGACCCTCATGCCCCAGATTTCTAAACAGCTCACATTGCAGGTGCATGGTAAAAATACCCACCATGGTATTTTTAATTCACACTTTCTTTCCTCTGCTAGTAGTGAGGGATAATATCTACTTCTAGGCTACATATCCTGGCCATTTTGTAATATCATGGACTCTCTAAACAGAAAGTTAAATTCCATTGCTCATTTTCATTTGCCTATCTTCCTTGTGTGCCTGTTATTTTCATGCATCAACATTCCTAAAACATAAGCTGGGCATGGTCGTTCATGGCTGTAATCACAGCATCAGGAGGCCAGAGTACTGTTGTGAGTTTGAGACCATCCTGGGCTACAAAGTGAGCTTGAGGCCTGCCTGAACTTCATAGAGACCCTGTCTCAAAAAGACAAAAAAAAAATTCTAAAAAATTTGCTCATATCATCTGTTCATTTTTGGGGTGAAGATTTTTATTTTTTTATAAAACTGATTTTTGACCTGCTTTATATATGTCACCCTTATTCCAGGACATTTTTGCAATTGAAGTAAATTTCAAATATTATAGTGTTTGGAGTGTATAAAGCCTATATGCATATATATTTAAAATAATTATGTTTTGTAGGTTTGCAACATTATATTTGAAATTTTGATCAATTGTAGATTAGAAAGTTGTTTCCCTGATGCATTTTATATAGTTAGCAGATTTGCATTTCATATTTTGTCCAGAATTTGCCTGCATTGACTATTTCCTTGTTTGTTCAGTAACACTGAAATGTACTTGGCCTAAAAATAAGTAGTGCTTGTTACTCATAATGAAATAATTAATAGCCTCTTTGTTTGCATTTGTACTGGCAGTCTTGTCAAGGTTTGGTTTTAAATACAGCAGAAGTATTTCTCAATTCTTCTTGTAAGTTTAATGTATGTGCCTGTTGCTCCAAGGTTACAATCTAAATAACTTATTGTTTGTGTGTGTGTGTGTGTGTGTGTGTGTGTGTGTTTTCATTTTTTATCGGTAACAAGGATCAAACTCATGACCACATGCTTGCAAGGCAGGGGCTTATGCCGCTGAGCTAAATCCTAAGCCCTAAATAACTGATTCTTAATGGAACCTAGGAATTAGACACAGGGAATGTCTCCTCTCTTTCCTTCTTTTATTCAAAATTTCTGTAATATAGTATTATCCTCTTAGAAGAATTTTTGTTCAATTTTCAATGGATTTACTGTTATTAGAAATAAAATTATATTGATGATAAAATTTTGTAAAGAGAGTAAAACAAAACATAATAAAACAGAACAAAGCTGATCCAAAGAAAACAATGCAAGTGACAGAGAATTTCAAACCAAACAACAGGTGCTCAACAGTGGCTACCATAATGTCTCTTTTTTACTTTGAATAGTTGTCTATATCTTCACACACAATGAATTCAAACAAAACCAAATAGTATAAATGTGACCAAATCAGAAGAATGAAAGCATTACAAGCCTTCAAAACCAGACAATAGGAAAATAAACAATGGCTTCCATAATGTCTTGTCTCTTCAAAAGAGCTGTGCATTCTGAAGATCTAAATTGAAAAATTTGTATTATTTCATATATTATCACATGCAAGGGTAATTATTCAATCTGGGTTTAGATCATCTACAAAACTATTTGGTAGTATTATTGTACATTTCAATGTTTTGCAAAGTTTTCTTCTATTCCTGCATATTGTGTAGAAGAATCTACCAAGTAGGATACAGGAAAACCTAATGATGTCTGAGTCCATGTTCCAAAACCAGAAAAAGAAGTAAGAAAAAAAGGAAAGATTAAAATAATTAAAACTTTTTCACCTGAGTTATAACTGAGTTACCTAAAATTTAAATTACAGAATGGTGTGCTAGGAGCAAGCTGGTCACCTCATGACAAATTTGAAGCAGTGACAAGCACAGAGTTATAAATGTTACCCACAGTGCTATTGCATACCTTCCATGACCTCCTTTTCATATTGATGATATGTTCCAAGGCATCAGCCCCTCAACTAAATGATGAAAGTAATTGATGCATTTGGAAGGTTATATAAGAGAGACACCTAACTGAATTTCATTTGGTTTTTTATGTATGTATGTATATACGTAGTTACTTACAGGGATGAACTACTTGAGACACAGAATTTAAGACAAATAGGTTCATTTTGTCTCCTTGTTTCAGGATGCAAATTGCTTTAGGCTGTTTCCAATATAGAAACACCTTGGCAAATAGAAATTTTAAAAAATCGGTAACTTACTTTATGAGCCTCAGGAACCTAAGCATAGAAGGAGCCAAAGAGAAAGGATCCAGGGACAAGATTTAGTGGATCATACCAAACTCATGAGTAACTCACAAGACACATTTAGACACACGCTCTTTTAATATCCAATGCATATCTTAAGTTAAATGAGTTAACGAAAGTATCACACAACTCCAGGCAACATGTTTCTTCTAAGAATATGAAGTTCCTGAAAGAAGCAAACTTTAACTTGTGAGGAGAGCACTTCAGGGCATGAGAAAATTATAGTCTGATGTTCTCATGATTTCCTGCTCATCACAAGCAAATGGTTCAGTGGATGAGCAGTGGGGCTGCACCTCTCCTTCAAGTGTCCAATATGCTTCTTTTCAGAAATGAATGAGGTGGGCTTTGACCCTGGATGAGCAGCAATCTTGTGTGGAAGAGGAGAAATGTTTGCTTTTTATATTTTTTTTTCATCTTTTTGTCTTGTAGAGAATATTGCTATGATTTAATCCTAATGTTTTGTTTTCCTTTTATAAGGCAAATATTCATTTTTTACCTGAAAATTAACAGATGGAAAGAGATAGTGCAAAATTTTCAGAATGAAACCAGTTATGTCATTCCCAAATATTGATCTTTCAAAGAACCAGTTGTTCCTCTGTTGTACTGTGTCTTGCGGTGGCCTAGATTCAGGTTGTTTTCTGACATAGGGAGATTGCTTCTTTACTAGACTATTGGCCCTGGAACTGTTAAAGGCAGCTGAGTCAGTTAGACGTAATACAGACAGTCAGATAGGGCTGAGCCCTCCAAGGAGCCAGAGCAGAAGTTCAGACATCTTGCAGCCTTGCAAGAGACAAGCTCCTCTAGTTATGGGCCAGATCTCAAGACAAAAGCCAGAGCAAATACAACCACTTCGTAAGCATCAACAGTTCAAATAGTTCTCTGTCACCCTGAGGAAGTCAGGAGTCAGTATCCCAACAGCTACAAGAACAGCCATTGCTCCTAAGTGTGCCCACTTACTAGGAGAGTCACTCCATTTGTGCGAAATTTAATCAATTGTACCTGAGTCTTACTAGTTGACCACAGTTTTGTTCCACTGGCCAGTTCCCATTTCCCCCAACTAGTACCCATTTAACCTCATGATTTTACTGTATATACGCCCCTAAAAAAGAAAGAGTATTTAGCAATCCACTCAAGATTCTTTCTCTATCTTGTAGACAGAATCTTTCTCTCAATGAATATATTTCACTATTAACCTCTGTTGTGCCTGAACTTAATTTTAGAGAACACAAACTCATACTTGACATACAGAAGGTTGGGAGTTTCATTCCCCTATATCAGAACCTTATAAACACAATTGTGACCCATGTTTAAGTATAGTCTCCACGGATTCTTATAAGAAAATACCGTCAACTCTGAGACTTCAGAGTACAGCCTTCAAATGCAAGTGTTATTAGTAAGGCGAGATGAGTTTAATATTTTATAAGAGTACCTGATTCAGAAGTCTCAGCATTAAAGTCTTGGAACTGAGCCCCCCTCTTGCAGGTAAAGATTTCTCTTTTCCCCGCTGGACTCAGAAGGCGGGTAGTAGAACGTAAGTCAGTCAATGAAAAAGGAGAAAACTCTATAAACTGTCCAATCAGAGGTGACAAAGGAGGAGGGCTCTTCCTGTGTCATGGCGCCGAAGAACTTTCCCCTCGCACATTGCACATTGTACCCTGGCTGGATACGCTGCTTTCTGTGAACTCTACAAGCTATAGTCTGTATTGGAAATACCCTAGGAGACCCTCAAGCTGCGCAATGGTAACGTTTTGGGTCGGAAAGACAGGTGGGGCGGAATCTAGAAGAGGTCCAGTCAGAATTGACCAAACTTAACTGCGATGGCTTAGAGCCTGTGATGTAGCTCAGTGGCACAGTGCCTTTCTGAAAAGTGTGACATCCTGAGTTCAAACTCTGGTACCAAAGGAAAAAAATCCCGAACTGTGGTGCCTGGGTTTCCCCCATGTTAGCTCTGATAGAATTTTCAGCGTGGCTAAAAAGATAGAAATATGAAATAAAAGTGGCCATTATTTTAAGATCGCGGAAAGAGAACCCCAGGACCACTGAGGTTTGGCTTTTCTCTCTGCCAGGCACTTTTGTGGGGGGCATACATATAGCTTACATTTGGGGTGGTGCCTAAGGGGCATTACCGATTCACAAGTAGCCCATTGGAATTCAATTCGCAACACATGTAAATTGCCTAGGGCCAGGGAAGATGACCCCAAGATAGAGCCCCTTGGTTCCGTCTCCCAGTCTCCCACCACTGCAGCATCTCATTCAGAGCAAAATCTTTTCAAGCTCTAGATCCTCATGTAATGTGAGATGGATACTGAGTCCGTTTTTGTTCCTTTTTCCCATTGCTGATAGAAGGGGGAAAAAATCACGACTTACTAGCTGTCCGGATTCCAAGAACTGCGACATTTTCTGGTCTTTTTTTTTTTTTTTTTTCTTTTCTTTTTTTTTTTAGACAGGGTCTCTGTGCAGTTCAGGCTGCGCTTGGGTTTACTTTGTAGCCCAGGGTAGTCTGAAACTCACAAAGATCCTCCTGCCTCAACTTCCCTAGTGCTGGGATCACAGGCATGAGCCACCATGCCCAGCTGAGAACTGCGATTTTTGTAGGGATTTTAGAACAGCAAAACCATAAGGGGGGGGTGGGGGTGGGAACTTGCAATGCAGAGAAGCCTGAGATGGGTCAGAGAGAATTACAGTCAATCAATAAGATTATGAGTTAATTGCTCAGGTAAAATTGAGGAAATTAAGATCCAATAGGGAAGGTTGCAAGGGGGAGGAAGGCCTTGGCTGTAGGGAGTTGGAATAGTGGCTTCTGTCTACCTCAAGGTGATGGGTACCTATTGAGAATATCAATCCCTGTTTTTATACTAGCGTGCAGTTCTGTTTGCTTTGAGATCTGGCTTACAGCAGAAAAAGTGTTTGTTACTTCCATAGTTGCAAGATATCGGGTCTTCTGCACTGGCTCCATTGAGGGCCTAGTCCTCTGTGACTCCCTATAATATTACTATTTAATTCAGCTGATTATAACATGGCTAGAACAAGACCAGTTTGGAGTTCTCAGGACCTTTTGCCCAATGTTAAACTGCCAGTCTTCTTGAGAAAACCATTGCTATCTTGCATCTGCAGCATTATGGAAAGCGAAGGAGTCTTGGAGAGATCCAGGCTAAATTGAAAATTGGAGTTGGATGCAGTGATGGTGAGCTAGATCTCTGGTTTTATTCCAGTTAGCAGCACTGCTAGAGGATATGAAGGTTATTAGTATCTCTGATGTAGGTTCTCATTTCCACAATCCCACATCAAACTTGCTTTTTAACCTTTGTGGTGATCTTGTAAATTTCCACCACCTCCTTTCATTTCTAAACTCATATTATATACTAAGAAATGTCCTGAGAATTCAAAAATGTGGGATGTGCTCCAGGGAAGAGCACCTGCCTTACACCTGGTGAATTGCTCTATACAGAGCATGCTAAAGAAGTTTAAACTTTTAATTATTTAGCTGACAATTCCATTCACAATTAGTTTAAGTGAGTTCTGCCACAGTTAGAATACTGAGGAAGATCAAAATCTTGTGGAATCAAAATCCTAGGAAAGAAAGGAGAAAGGTGTACCTGCCAGAGACAACTTTCAGAAGTGGTACCTATTAAACTCACATTGAGAGACACCTTGAATTGGGGCATTTACATGGACATATATGTGTGATTATGTGTGGGAGTGGAAAGAAACCAGGGCACAATTTCTGTTTAATACAGAAATTATGATCTTGGCCTAATTGTTTTTCTTTAATACAGAAAATATTTTGTTTAATACAGAAAATATAGTTCTTGGCCTAATTGTTACTTCTATAAAATTAAAAATGCTGCTTGTGATAGACTTTCAAATTAGTACTGGAGTAGGGGAGAAACCTAAAATAGAAGTAGTGCAGCATATCCATGGTTAGGTAGGCTGACTTGTGTGCTTGCTTGATTTGTGAGGTGGGCAAAGGTCACAGGCTTGAAGAAAGGAAGGGAATTTAATTATAGGTAACTGTGTCTTCTGCTGCTACTGATCAGTTCATGGAATCTTTTCTGAGGCAAAATCTTTAAAGAGGCAACTGCATGGCCTTGTTTTGCTTTAAAGTTATTGTGGACACCTTAGCAGAAGTAGAATTGCGGGGGTATCTCCAGTGTTTCAAATATTTCCAGATGATCTTGATGATTAATTTATTAATTTATTTTTTGAGACAGAATCTCACTTTGTAGAGCAGGCTGGCTTCAAATTCATTAAAAACTTTTTGCCTCAGCCTCATTCCAGCTGGGACTACAGGTGTACACCACCCTGCTCAGCATGCTTGGTTGTTTGTTTGTTTGTTTGTTTGTTTTTTATTGTAGGGACTGAACTCTGAAAGTTTGGTCTGAGCTAAGTTTTTAAATTTTTTAAAAATTTTTGTGAACTGATCTTACTAAGTTGCCCTAAGTGGTGTGAGTTTTTGATAGTGTTTGTAACTCATTTAATGCATACATAATAATACATGTGTATCACTGTATCAGTTTAAGGTTGGGATGTTTTTATACACCATGATGTACTAAGATTTGAATGCTTGGGTAAAATAAACATCAGTTTACTGATGTGTGATAGTGTGATAGTTCACACCTTTACTCTCAGCCACTTGGGGACTGTGACAAGTGTTACAACAACCTGCCTGAAGAATTCAGTGTGACCCTCTTTTGATACAAAATATGAATTCTGGAATTTATCTCCAATAGATAATAACTTGTTTAATATTCTCTAGGACCAGTAAAATTTCTGATAAATACAGGAAAATTATTTAATGGAAATTTTACTTTATATTTCAATTTTATTGTTTTTGTGCACTAGTGGTGTATAGTATACTGCTTGTCCATGATGGAGGACAGCAATGATGAATAACTGCTCTTGAGCAACAGGACACTGATGCTGAACAACTAGTGATTGCAGTGGACTCAATTCAGTGAATTGAGATTTTAAATTGGAGAGATTTTAGTGTTTCGTTATAAAATTTGGATTATGTTATCTATATATCCCCAAACACAGATTAAGCAAATGTGTTGAGCAGGCTTAAAGGATCCAATGTGTAGAAGTAATGTTTGCCCAATTGGGTATATTCTTGCACATTCAACACTTTTCATTTTCAACGTGGTTTGGGTTGGTCACCCTATTTCATTTTTTTTTTTTTTTGATCATCATATTTCTAACTCCAGTAGTGTCACTAGATTCACACCTTCTTAAAGTCCTCTATAGAACATGATACTTAACTTATGGCTTCTTGTTTTGAGTGCTATATTAATTGGACTCTCCAAAAACAACTGAATCAGAAGAATAACATGAGTAGTATTTGGAAAAAAGAACACTGAATTTAGGATTGTTTTCTTTGCTTTGAGTTGTTTTCATGATGATGATCCTTATGAGATGCCCCACTCTGTTCACATTGTGTGGCTTCCATGACCCTAACAAGTCAATAGAGCAGAGATTTTCAATACTCAGACATGAGGCTGAGCAGTTTGAACACAAACCACCAATCCTGCACCTGGCTGAAGATAAAGCACTTTCATTTGTAGTTCTACTTCATGCTGGTTCTGGAAATCTTTCTAATTGCTTTAACTTTGGGTAACCTGCCTTGCCATGCCAGTTTGCCTGCTCATGTAAGCCCACTTTCATTTCTATAACATTAATAGGCTGAAGGCATGTCTGTCCAGTCCCATGACATCCAAGGCTCTTTCACCTGAGCAGTGACATATATGTCTCTGGGAAAAGAGATGACCATGAATCATAGTTACATGTTCCGTAAGTCAAAAGAGACTGCAGTCTCTGAAATTCCCCTGAGTTCTTTGGGCTTGCTCACTCTATGTGAGTTTACTGCAAGTGGCTATGGGAATGGATGTGACACAGCTGAGATACAGCTCCTGCTTCAGTTCACGCAGAGTTTAGTCTGTCTGAAGCTTCTTGTGGGTGTCATCATAAAGAATCCAACAGTGGAGGCTGTTGTAGATTTTCACACTAGTGACATCTGAAATGTAGTGCAGGTGGATAAAGACATAAGGAGGGTGTGCAAGAACAAGCAGAGAGTACTTTGAACAGACTCACTGAGCCTATGTTTGAGGTGCAGAGGTTAAAATGTGGCAGCTCTTGGGTCTTTGCTCATTCTTATACCTGGTCCTTCAGGAGCTGTGTCCACTGCATCTGCTGTCAGTCATTTCCACCAGTGTTAATTCTGCACATGAGAAAAGCTATAAATATGTCTCAACTTTTTTCTTGTAATCATGACATAGGTCATGAAGAAGATTTAGATGCATCTTAGGAGTGGCAGTCAAAGATGTTGAACAATGTCACAGAAGAAATGAAACAGACTTTTTTAGAAACAAATCTTATGCATGAATATCACTAGTGCTGTGTTTGAGGAACCTGCTGCAGAAGAATTTCCTTTCCATGTTGTACAACTTACTATCATGATTAGAGTATACCCCATGGCTTCATGTACATTTTTGCACTGGCTGTATACCATGGATATGAATAAACCCTCTACATGTGCTCTACCACTGAGCTGCACTCCAATCTCATGTATATATTTTACTGCTCAAATGGGAATGTTTTAGATTGTTCATCCTATATTGTAATTGTTTCAATATTACTTTTTAAACTTTTTTCACTGCTGTGTGTGGGTGTAATTCATCACAGAGACTCCACTGTTTGTCTCCATAGCTTTTTACCTGCCTTTGCACAGTTAGGGCAGAGGAGGC